TGTTTCTTTTTTTTAATTTTTTTGTTCATTTTTTGTTGTTGCATGCATTAGGGACAATGCACCAATTAGGTTTGGAGGTATGTTGTTAGTTGAATATTGCATTTAGAAATGTAGTTTTACATATAGGAAATGCATTAGTAATGCCATACAATAATTTTATAAAAATCAATGAAGTTTTTAAGGGAATTTTAATGATGCCTGATCATGAGTATTAATTGATTTGAAATTTTATAGAGAATGTTGTAGACTTTTTGAAAATAGAATCCTTTGAAGTTTTTTTACACTTAGGTGTATATTTTCAATACTTAGAAAATTAAGAAATTTTTAGGTTGTAAATCTCTTATCTTTATTAGATTTGTAGAAAAATTGAATAAGAGATCTTTCGAAATAAGTTGGGTAATGTTGGTAATAACTCCAACATAGTTTAGGAAATAAGTTGGGTAATATTATTGGTAATAGCTCCAACATAGCGAGAGAAATAAGTTGGAAATCCAACATCGGTAGAGGAATATTGTTGTAACATTGAATATCTTTAGCATAGTATATGCAAATTTTTCTAATTTAGCTAAGTATTGATTTGATACATATATTATACCTTGAGGATTCTAATTTTGATGAGATGAAATTGCATTTCCTTATTCGAGAATATATTTATGCTTTACAACATTAGCTGAGGGATAAAAAAGGAGCTTATTTGTTTAGTTAATTTCTTGAAGTTATTTTATGGCATTGTCGTTAGTTTTTACATTTCGTGCATTTTTGCTTGCAACATATAGGTTGAGCTATGATAACTCTCCAAAAGAGTTATATTTAATGGCCTTTTCACCTAGGTTTAGTTTTAACTTGAGTATTTTTAGGAGTATTTTAGGATTATATATTTTTTATTTTACACATTTTTCATATTAGGGACTTTGTGGTTGCTTATGGCTGAATTTGATTTTTGTTGCTGCAAAATTGTTACACTAATGTCGTAGCACTGTAGGAAATACTGAACAGATATTGTAGTAGCTGATGAATCTCCAGACGATTGGGAGAACTTTCTGGATGGGACAATTGGCTTGGGCTGTAGTCAATGGGATGGAAACCACCTAAAACGTGGAAACATTTCATTGGATGATGAAAATCTTCTCAAAGTTATAAATGGGAGTGCTTTGCAAGCCTAAAAATGGTGACAAGTAGAAGCCATTAGTAAGTACCCTTTTTCCATATTAATCATTTATACACCATGAAAGCTTAAGCCGCCAATCAGGGATTGCTACAATATAAGGGGAGCTCCCTATGTAGGATCCGTCGTCGTAGATCACTAATCGAAGCCTTTTATTGAGATATGGAATGATTTAGTTGTTTTCTAAACTTTGTGGATGATATTTTGGATTAATTATATTATGTTTATTTTGTTATTGCTTTATGTTATTGTTGCTTCTTGGTTATGAGTATAAATACTTATGATTAAATGTATGGTATTTTCAATTACTTTCTAGAAATATAGTTGGTTGATTTGTTATGCACTTTTGATAGCATTGGTATTGCTGAGTAGTAATGTGTATGTTGAAAAGCATGCATCTAATCGATTGGCTTTGTTAATACTTTGAACCTTTAATTAATGAAAGTGATTAGAAAAGTTAAAAGGTCTTAATCAATGTGAATCACATAGTTGTAGTATGTTTTGTTTACTTAAAATATGATGTCCATAATAACATTCCCTTTGATTTGATTGTTGACTTAATCCTCTTTGTACTGTTGTAGCCTGAACTGGGGTTTTTTTACCTTGATTGTTATTCCCTTTACTTTGCATCTATTTTATACCCATCATTCTTTAATGCTTAAAAACTCTAATGAGAACATTTTGCTCCTTGTGGACTCGATACCCGTAGCTCTTTGAGTTACCATTTATTACTTGGGAATTGGTGTACACTTGCACTTAAGCTATAGCATTTTACCAAGCATCACCTTTGTAACTCGGTAATACTCCCTGGAATACCAGTTGCCACAATGCTTGCGTTGTAAGGGCTGTAATCCTCTTCCATAACCTCTGGTGATCACCACTAAGATCAATGTCAAAGGTCTTCTACGTTGTTCCGATCCCTGGCAACTCCCTATACTATTTTCAGTCCACATGGAATGAGATGGTGGGGGCCTCCGCTCTATATGGGAGTCCCTAGCCCTCTTGGCCTCGTATGATCTAAAGCTAGCTCGACTATAACCCACCAGTTGATGGCATCACCCTTCAAAAAAGTAATGATGCACTCAAGCTTACCCTCTGGGTAAGGTACAGATGTCTCATAGTACAAAGTGTCTCACAGAGCCACTGGACGGAAGCTATCGAGTCATAATCTCTAGTTTCATAGAAGTTCGTGGTCTTATAGTATCGAAGTCCCTCTATATGTGACGCTTGAGGTACTACAAATGTGATAGGTACAGTGGGTGCTCATGGAATATCTCAGATAATGTTTCTAAGGGCATCTATAAGGCCCTAAAGAAGGTGGTCTCAACGATCCCTGTAGCCCCTAGGACCCTAATGTCCTTGAAATACGGGATAAACTGATCACCAATATCTCTGGTGAGTGAAACGTGACTCTCATTGCGATCCTCTTGGCTAGGAGCTGGGTCATCGGGCCATATCCTACAGAGTTTAAAGAAATGAGTTATTATCTCCATTCTAAATAACCAAGTATATTGATACTCTAGGGACATGTACATCACTAATTCTTTTTAACTCTAACCCTGGTTTCCTAGGAACGACTGAACCTGACGCTCTGTTACCACTAATGTAATACCTAAATCTGATTTAATCGAGACCTGGTACGTTTGAGTATTACATGGGACCACCAAAGTGGCTAACCTAGAATTTTCTTAAAACATTTCTTTTTCCAAATCATAATTCGTCACATAAAACAAAATAAGGTAAAGTTATTTAAGTTTACAAAACTAGGAAACTCACAAAATAAATCTCAAAATACAAATAATCCAAGAGTTATGACTGAAATACAAAAAGGGTCTATTAAATATATGCCCACTATGATAATCAAGGCTTACTCTGCAACTGATGATATCTGGAAATCTGACTGGTTAATGATAAGCTCTTGAGTATGGCATTTACTAACCTGGAAACGAAAACAATTCCAAACGATGAGCTAGCTAAGTGCCACATAAATGACTTCACTATACTATATACATTCATTAACTACGAATGCTTATAAAGTTAATTCATGTTGCAAAAGAAATCATCAAGTATACATCATAGCATAATATTACGTAATGATACATCATATGAAAGCATAATATGGGCAGGCTACTTAGTCACAGAAGTGCTTTAACACTAATACTAAATTATCATAGCACTGGAATAAAAATGCATTTTTACTAATACAAAAGTGTCATAGCACTTTGGGACAGAATCTGGATATCTCTACTTACATATTTGAGTAGTACATGCATATGCTTTAGTAACTCGGGTGTCCTTGTTGTTTCTCGAGTGTCAAACAAAGGCTAGTTTTATGCTACATAAATTAATTTTTTTTCTCAATGGTTTCGAATAATATTTTCACTTGTAGTCTTAATTAAGAAGCCTTAATGCCCTCATAACCCCTTTCGAAGTTTATGAACGTAGCAAAATTTTCTGCCCAAAACAGGATGTCAGTACCAATACTAGGCATGTTAGTATCGATATTGCCTAGAGTATCAATTCCAAATCCAGCTTATATGTTTCAAATTAATTCACAGTATCGATACCCCAATGGAGAGTATCAATACTTCTCTCATGGTATCGATACTCCTATGAGTATAGGTATCAAAAATACATTCTAGAATCCTCAAATTTTCATCGGTATCAATACACCCTTTGAGTATCGATATTGAACCCCGATTATTGATTCCCCTTTAAGAAGTATCAATATTTCCTTCACAAATTGCCTTGTTTTTACCCTGTACAAAGGGAAATATCAGTATTGGTCTTTAAGTACCGATACCCCTTCTAAAAAAGGCCATGTTTAGGCATGAAAATGACTTCTTAGAGTCCTTCATAAGCCCCTTTAAGGCTACCCAATGTTTTTTAAGTCTTATAGGGTTTATTATCATCATAATGAGTTATTTCAACACAACAAAAACAAAAAATATAAATGTTACCATTAAAATCCCCCAAGATCCATTTTGCACCCATGAACACAATATTCAAGCAAAACATGGTTTCATGACCTATATGTGGTAAAGCGAAGTTATTTGTTTGTTTACTTGACTCTAGTTGATGGAAGAATGCTCCAAAGATCAGCCAAGCACCAACTTTTCATTGTTCTTAACCTTTGATCACTCTCCAAATTCTTTCACTAACAACAGCAAAAACAAAAGGATTACAATCTCATTTTAAATCTCTAACTAATTAGAAACATGTCTAAACACTTAGGAATAATTTAGAGACACTCTTAAGCACTTAAAAAAAACCTCTATAAAACCTATACCTTGGCCACCAAGGTTACACCCCAAGATTTTGGGCTATAAATAAACCTCTAAGGATGTATATTACACTTCTTACCTTTATAATTTTAGACTAGCCTTGTTGAATAACAAAATTCTCATCTTTAGGGAAGTTTGGAGAGGAAGAACAAAAGAAAGAAGATATGAAGAAAATGAAAATAGAGATCCCCTTTCCAATGTGAGTAAAATAATTACAATTAAGGGGAATCATCTTTTGATTCAAACCATGGGAAAATTACTCCCTTGGTCTTCCTCATTTTAACTCAAATTCAAAAATACCATTTTTAACATCTTATGAGCTCTTCTCTAAGCCCAATTCTCTTCCCCTTGGCCCAATGAATTTAAGTTAATTTTATATGAGCACTTTAATCCCAATAACAATACCTGAAACTACTAACCTATTTTTGGGGTATTACAAAGTTCATGCTTAAGTAAAAGATGAAATAAATAAGAACTCCCTTAGAATTCACTACAAGAAAATATACCTTTTCTTGACCAACACCGACCTTTGCCTAAGGGGACGAAGATGTCAATGGATGACGAAGAAGCCTACGGGGGCTTCGGCCAGGTGGATACAATGATCAGAAGGGTTTTTGTCCCTCCTATAATGGCAGAGGTATCTTTCTAATAATGAACCTTTCTCACAACATGGATTTATGACTTTGGTTTGGTAGATGACAATTAAAATGTTGTGATGTTTAGCAACTGATATGCAATTTTCTCTCAGTATTGGGAGAAGGCGGAGTTTCCGTTCCAAATTATTCCCAAACTCGGTGCTCTTAGTATTGCGGGTGGTACCATCAAGGTTAGTCATATGTGGGTTTCAGTTTTTTTAGCTTATTTGTTCCTTGAAAGTGGAAATTAAGTATGATGTTTTGTTATTACTGATTTTGCAGGGTTATGGCTGCCCTGGTCTCTAGCTTACTACAAGTGCAGAGATTGCTTGGGTCGATGCAAGTTGCTCAACTTTTATCTTGGTGCATTCATCTCTAACCATGCATACCATTGGTGAGATCTGTGGAACGAATTTCTATAATTTTTTTTAATTTATGGATTCACTTTGTTATCGTTTTTTTTAGAAAAAGCTAAACAACTAATCACGATCTTCTACACTTGTCTGGACCATCAATGATAGCATTATGCGGGATAGAGGAACAGAAGCAGAAGTATTTACCTTCTTTGGCCTAGTTAAAAACTGTAGCTTGTTGGGTAGGTGTTATTTTTCTTCATTAACTTCCTGGTTGATCCTTAGTGTCTTTTTGAGCCATAATTGAAGAAACTTAATGTTATCTTTAGGCTTTGACTGAGCCTGACTATGGAAGTGATGTGAGTTCTCTGAAGACAACTGCAACAAATGTCTATCCACAACCTTGTATTTTAGTTTTCACATAAATTCGTTTAATATAGATAATTTCAACCACTTATCAAAATTCTAACTTTTTTGTTATATCATTTTTGCTTTTATCTCAAACATTCATGTCGAAAGAGGTTGGATACTCGAGGGACAAAAACGATGGGTAGGAAATAACACTTTTGAAGATGTATTGGTTATCTTTTGCACATCCAAAGGGAGGAGCCAGAGGGAGACCTGGAGGGAGGCCAATGAAAGACAATGGTGGAGTATGGGATACAGAAGTGCCTGATACATGGAAACGTGCAGATGAAGATGAGGTATTTTTTTCCTTCAATGGATTTTTAAAAATTGAAGTGGTTATTGGATATGATTAGTGAAGCAAGAGTTCTTCTTTGACAGTTTGCTCGTAGCATTTGCGAGATAAGAGAGTCGAGAACAGCTCCGGTGGCACAGAAGTTTGAGCGTAAAGCAACTCCAATAGCGGAGAGAGTGCTTAACACTCTGCAATCGTTCCCTCGTGGCGTGGACTGTGTTGATCCACTTGGAATGGGGTAAATCTTTTCAGCAACTTCTTATTAATTTATATTCATTTTTTTTGTTTAGATTAGAGGAATTCGCTCTAATTCAATCTAGTTATGTCTCATTAAGATAAGACCGTGAGAGAAGTTAGTTCCATTCTTAATTATTGTACTAATATGATTACATGAATTGTTGCCTGGTCTTTTTTTTAGCCTTAACTGGATTCAGTGGATCCTCAATTTCATCTGCTATAAGTTTTTCTTCTGACCTCTATGTTTTGTACGATTGGCAGAATAGTAGACAACAAGACCTTCAGGTTGGTCAATGATTCATCTGAAAGCACTCGCGTTGAGAAAGATCATATCGACAGTAACGTCTGTGGTATATTTTTTTCCTGTCTTCCGTATGTTTTATGCAGATTATACTTCGTAATAGACTTTAATAACAACGTTACTCTCACAAACTGTGTATCTGCAATCTAAAATATATAGGTATTTTAAAAGGGTATCACTTGTCTGAATTCCTCAATGAGCTACTTTTCTCTCTTGAATATTTTAATTTAATACCTAAAACTATAATGCCCGTAATTTTTTAGTAAAATGAAATGCCAGTGAATTATGTAATTTGTTTAGTGAAACTTTGCAGAGAAGTTGATGTATTTCTCTGAAAAACTTGATGCAAAGTTGTTTCTGTCCCGGATACACCAAGATACACCTGCTGCAAACTTGGAGGCTGGAGCTCTTGCACTAAAAATAGATCTCCAAGGGTAGACTCAACAGAGGAAACAATTGGTTAAAGACAATTTTGAATGCTTTGTTTCATGCAAAACAACAATTGATGGTAAAGCACCTCGCTTTACTTGATTCTGGTACTACTTTAACTATGGAAGTGCAATTTTCTTATGGGCTAAAACAAATTTATTGGCATACTCTTTGCCATATAAGTTCATGAATTTTAGTTGTTTGCAAACAGTGCTAATTTGGGGATGGTACTTGCATAGATATCGAGTCAAAAATTAAGTGAATTGAGGAAGACCCGGAAGGTTTAGGGACAGTTAACTTGTAAAAATATATGCAAGGAGTATATTCACAGGCAGAACGGGCCTTTGAGCCTCTATTTGAGAGACAGGTTGGTTAACTGTAGGTGTTGGTTTGCTTTCAAATTCCTTTATGATTATGCTACTCAAACATGGGATATGATTTTGTTGTGGTAGACGTGAAACGACGGATTCTTGCTGTTATCTAATATGTTAGTTGACTCAATGCCTTGAATGCCTGAATGCTTTACTCGAATTCCATCGTCAATGTCGTGGTTTGGATGGTATAGTTCCGACGATTGGTCGTGTAGCTAGTTTTACTCCACTGTTGCTATATAGTTGTGAGTTATTGCACATATACATATAAGTGTAGATAGACAGTCATAAGAGCTCAACTAAGCGTCTCGTAGTTACGGTGACGGTCGATATGTTGGTAGGTTCAATGAATTTGGGGTCGATGGAGGGCCTGCAGTGAAGGAGTTGATACCAAAGCTTGATCTTGCTAAGAAACACATATCTTCACAGCTCCATGTGGTTTGTCGGATATCGAAGTAAGATATTATTTTTCTCTCTTAATCATCTACGATGAATTTATTTCTTTTGTGGAATATTAAGTTCGTGTTAAATGTTAATATGATATATGATTTTCATATTATGGAGACCTCTCTTAAACGCAGGTTAAACAATTAGTTTCGGCTGCTATTGCTTTGAAAAGACTCGGTGATATTCTATTTGTATTTGGCCATGGCTTTGGAGCCTTCTTCCTGGTGATATTTTTTCTTCTTAAGAGTGATTATTTTGGTTCCGTTTGAACTATGAAGTTATATGTTAATTCCACCAAGCAATTACGTTTGATTCTACTTTCGTGTCTCATCTAATTGTTCTTTCCATTGTCGTAGTTTGTGTATTTGTTGGTTAACACTCCTTTTCTCTATGACTTCTACGACTATCGACCTGAAGATCCCTAGTACGTTGCTCTGCTCGGTGATTTTCTGCAGGTATTTGCATATCCATATCCGAAGTATTTCCCTATGGATTACGAAATACAACGTGCAAACATCATTGATTCTTTCATTAATGGCAGTCTGTTGCGCAATGTATTGCATTATTGTTCTTCTGATGGATGAAGAGCTTGATCACAAAGATACAACTAAGGAAGAAAATCATGAAGCCAAAAACTGCTTAGATATATCGAAGTGGTAGCAGGTGAAGATTGTTGATTTGCAGTGACAGGTAATATTTTGTAGGATTATCCGTTACCGAACCGAACTTTTAGTAGTTAAGCTTATTTTAGTTATTTATTAAGCGGAAAATTCAAAAAATAAGTTTGCAGATTCAAATATTTTCCCTCCGATTACAAGTTTAAGTTTAAAAGTAGCGTTTGACTGAATCTGTCGCTTCTCCATAGCTGTATTTATGACAGGCAAAATCAATTGCTCTCCCCTCCCATGTAAGCAGAATGCTTGGAATTGTTATGTAGAAGATAGAAATGCGTGGACACGGTTGGTGTGGTATTTGGTTCTAGTGCATATAGTGAACATATTATTTGATGTTTGAGCATGATTTTAGTCAAAATTCTAGCCATAAATCCATTGCATCTATAAACTAATTTGTTATACATTATTTATATGTATTGATTCCTTGATGGCTAACATCAGGCATTGGACCCTTTATTTTTTATTTTTTATGCATGTGTCACATGATTTTGGTGGTCTTATTCTCAGTTCAAGATTATTCTGTACTCGAGTATGTTTATATAGAGGCCTTTCAAGAACTATGTTTGTGAATACATTATGTATTGGTTGAAGAATACCATATCTATAATCCATAATTAATATAATTTCACACGGCCCGTTGCTGTTTATATGCTTAAGCAGGCAAACTTAACATTATTCGTTATTGTCAGGTAAAAATACTAAAAAAAGTTCTTGAAGAGGTTGAAAGAGTGATACAAGAATTCAAAGGCACGCTTTACAAGTCCATGGAAGATCCACAAATAAACCTAACAAGTGTAAGCATTTGACAATACCTTTTCAATATTTTGAAAATTTTTACTTGTGAGGAAATGTACAATTGATGTTGATTTAAGACCTAAATTTTCATGGATATTTGTTCAATATTAATGCTCGTGGTATTAAAATATTATTGCTCTATCTTAATTTGGATGTTGAGGTGAGTATTAAATTCAAATATGTATCTGATATAGATATGTGGTAGATTATACTTCCATACCTATATCCAAACATGTGTCAGCCATAAGTGTAGAACTCAGGTACTTTAAAAAAATGACATGTTCGTGCAACATAACAATTATTTGATGCTTACTGACCCATGAGATGCAAGCTTTTTTCCCAATAAATCAATTTTATGATGTTAAATCAGTTTTTACAAAATTTTCTGAGTTGCTTGGGTAAGCTTTGAGTGGGGATGTAGATAAAGAGAACATACTAGTATTCTACAAACCAAAGGCCTGCTATTGAGAAGTCAATGAAATGATTTCCATTAATTACCATGTTGGAATGCTCCTGTTTTCATTTTATTTGTAATGCTCCATGATCTATATTCCCTTCCTGTTGTCTTAGGAGTAGAAGTACGGGATATTTATGTCGAAAAGTTATGAGATGGTTGAAAATGGAATCTTGTTTTGTTTTGTTGAATTGGTGAGAGTATGAAACTAGAGTTCTAGGATATTGTCATAAATGTTATTTCTGACTATATAAAGCAAATTATTGTGGCATTCAAGCCTGTGATTAAACAAATGCTATTTTATTGATCTTACTTGCATTTTAAGCTGACCAAAAATTAGTTTTTGGGAATTCATATTTTTTAGGTTGATGAAATGATTTCCATTGATGCACACTACTTAACCATCTTTTAAAGATGTTTACGGTTTGGGCATTTACTCAGAAAGTTTTGAGAAGTCTTTCCTGGAGTGCACATCCGAGTTTTATACAGCTGAAGGAATGAAATACATGTAGCAATCAGATATTCACGTTTACTTGAAGCATGTAGAGGTGCCTCTTCATATTTCACTTTCTCAGTTAGCAGTGATTGTTACTCTGTATTTTGAATTGTGCATGTTTTATCCTTCTAAAAATAATGTTAAATTTGTCACATTATTCCATATATATGGAATTTGAATGTTTATCCCTCTACAATTTTTGTGTAAGTTTATGTAACTGAGAATTGTGCATGGAATTTGAATGTTTATCACTTAATGTGAATATATTGTATGCAAATGAATTGCTTATATATAATATGATGATATATATTTAGTATTACAAGGCATTAACTATGATTTAGCTTGATTATTTTTCAATCTACAATATATAAATATTTAATTTACGAAATACAATTATGACACACGCATGTGTGTCATCTTCATTTATGACGGGGGCTTCAATGACACGTAATGTAAGTCATAAATACGTGTCATAAATTTATGACAGACAAATGTGTGTCATCTTCATTTATGATGGGGGCTTCAATGACGTGCAATGAGTGTCATAAATGAGCGTCATAAATGCGCGTCATAAATGTGTGTCATAAATGTGCGTCATAGATTTTTGACGCACAATTGCGCATCATCTAAGATTCATGTCGGTGGCTTCAACGACAGGCATTTGTGTGTCATCCGCACCCATAGATGATGCACAATGTGTGTCATTAAAGGGGTTTTTTCTAGTAGTAATTAGCCTTGAAGATCTTCGATGATGGTGGTGGTTCTTCATTTGGGTTGAAATACACCTTTATTGTTACGATCTTGATTTGCTCAACTAGAATTTAACAAGGATTATATCCTTGAGATTTCTTGGAGGCTATCAATTTACCTCGATCAAATAGTCTTGAAAAGGTTTTCAAAAATTTAATAGATTCATAGCCATGCTCACAGCATTCATTCCCTCTTTAACGCGATTTGTCCTCAAATCAAAAATATCGATAAAAGAACAAATCTCAATGGAAAGTAAGAAAAAATCTTTTTCACAGGTAAAATAATCCAATTGAGTTCCTTGACTTGAGAAAAGTTCATCCTCGAATTACAAACAACATTGGGGAGATGTTCTTCATGATTAAGAAAAAAAAAGTCTTTTTAATAGATGGAGAAGACCTTTTGATCTCCTCGTAGTGGCTTGCCAAATTCTTGAAATAAAACAAAACCATTGTCAAATTTTGGGACATTAATAGACAAATTTTGGTTCATTGGAATGAGACATCTTGTTCTCCATGAATCAACCCTACCATTTTAAAATGTTGAATTTTCTTTGTTGGAACTTCAATTTGAAACACCAAAGTCTCATGTATTATTCAAACAATCATGGATTAATTAGATTTTGGAAAATCTCCTTCAGTGGAAAATGCAATCGTTTTTGCCTTTTTTGTGTTCTGGAACATTCTCAAATGTGATTTCTTATTCACCTTTTCTTACACTAGAAAAAATTTGATCATTCGTGGTGCAAGTAATTAAGGAATGATTGGACTAACTTATTTCTTCTATGACTTTTTTTTGAATCATCCTTGGTGAGAACTTCTCTTTTGGCTTTAGAAATTATGGTGCTACGATTAGGACATAGGCTCAGGACTTGTCCTTCTTTCAAACACCGATCACATCGAGTTGTAGCTAAGGTAGAGCATTGTTTCCATTTCCAATATTCATATTTGCTTGATTTCTCACAGCTTCTCTTCGACGGTATAGGAATGTTGTTTTTATTTCTGGATCAAAAGGATATGGCTCTTTGTCACTTCGGGGTATAAACTAACCAAACTAGTAAAGATAAGTACCTACAAAAAGAAAAGAAAGAAATAATTAAAAAATATAAAGAATCTATAAAGTAAAACCGATGTTCCATGATAATGGCTTAAAAAACTTGATACTACGTAAGATATTGCAGCAATTACGTAAGTATACGTGTCGTTCAAGTAATAAAGTGGTAACAATAAAGTTACAATTTTCGAATCCCACAAGGAGCAAAACTTGTTTGGAAAAGAGTCAAAGTGTAGGGAAATGTATGGTTGAAATGGTAATCTAACAAATAACAAAGATAAAAAATAGAAGAATGAACGCAGAAGAATGTTGCAGCAGACAGTAAAGCAATCATACCGATAGACCAATAAATGTTGTTGTCGTTTGGTTGTTGATAGTATGATTATGATGTAGCAATACAGTTATACAACTTGCAAAGATTAACAATTTAATATCATTTAATCAATTAAACACTTAATAAACTAGAATAATTCTCACCAACTCCATTAATCAAGTATTTAACAGAGCAAGACAATGGGTAACATACATCTCTATATGCATAAATTTACTCTCATAAATAACGATGTTGTACATAAATAGCATAAAACCTCAATAATTTTCATCTCTAAAATTCATCAAGATTTCATACATAAAATATTTTCATCCGTAAAAATATAGCAAAAGCTCCATAACATAACAATATTGTTTCATGAAAAAACCTTATGTTCAAATCCAAATAACATGCAAAAACAATAAAACATACAAACTAAATAAAGTATCTTCCTTTCTCAAGTAACAAAACCAAAATAAAGCTTGAACCCTTATCGGTCATCGCTGCTACACAACTACTCCACTGCTCCTGGTGAATGGTTTAGGCGGCAACGGTGGATCGAATATAGAGGTGAAGAAAGGTTGAAGAATAACTCTCAAAAGTGTGGATAGAGGCCTTATTTGTAATCCCAAAAGTAAAAGCATACTCCAATAGGAAAAATATGATATTTCTTATATTTTCTAGTCATTTTATAATTGTATTGGGTAGCTTTCTGAATCCATAAAATTCCATAATTGTCTTCTTAAACAAGCATTAAAATGAATAAACTAGTTTAATTAGTGAACTAGCTTTATTGAATGATCCAACAAACTTAAATGAATTAACTTGCTTAAAGAAACTACATGCTTTGAACTAACTAAATACTAAATGAAGTACATGCTTTGAATAA